CTGGCCTCGGCGCCCGGCCCGAGGAGGCGCCTGCCTCGTTATTATGACCATTGTTTCCCTCCATCCATCTAGCTACGCATGCATCTTTTTGTAACGTCCTTGGGTTCCATCCAAACGACCCTCAACCAAATCTAGGGGCCCAAACACAGAAATCGAAGGGAGAAGCCCAGAATGGTCTGGACTTAAAACAAAACCACACAGGAAACCCCTCCCAGACACCCAGATTAAACTCCCAGGCTTTCGACGAGGATTCGCAGCCCTGGCGACCCTAGGAGCGCGCTCTCTCCCGCCCTACACTCCCGCCCTCTCCCCAGATCCTCAATTTTTGGCAGTGATCATTACAGTATTACTTTTCTCAATTTGCAAGAAAAAAAAATACATCAGGTTTCAGAAGAACTCCACACTCGCAAATGAGATGGCCGGCCGAGTGGAGGGGCTGGACGGTGGGAGCAGACGGAGGGACACACCACAGGGTACAGACAGACAGGACAGACGACACTTACCTCACAGCCGCATTGGAGGTTAGAAAGAAAAGCTTAAGTATCCTTCAAAACCCCAAATATCCAGCTCTCCTAAGAGAAAGCAAGAGCACTGAGTTAGAAACCTTGCCGTCTTGACCACCCTTGCATAAAAAGTCAAACACAACCAAAAAATAAAATAAAATAAAACAATTAAGTGCAGAAAGTGAAGAGCGTGGCCCGAGTTGGAAACACGCGTGTGGCCTCCACGATACATACGAGGTGGACGTGGTGCGCGAGGGCTGTTCTCGAGGTTTTTATTTTTAATCACAGTGGAAGCCGAGTTGGAGCTGAGGCCGGTTCCGCTCTCAGGGAGATTTGCTGAGAAAGCGCCTCTCTGGCAACTTTTTGACGCAAACTCTCCAACCAATGGCAGGGAGAGAATGATTGACACATCTAAGCCAGAGGGAAAATAATAAAAACACACAACAGGGGGAGGAAAACAGGCCGCTGCTGCACTGGGGGACTAGCAGTCAACAAATCCAGGCCTCCGACATTACCAGAATGTTCTTGAAAGACACTGGGCTCCGTTTAAAATATACATTATGGGCCGGGGCATGTGAACTAATTGTGTAATTAAAATGATGGACAGGGAGGCCTTCCCTCACCTCCGTGTCCTCTTCTTCCTGTACACGCCTTTCCTGTCTCCCTTTTTCTTTTTATTTTAGGGAAGGGGTAAAGGGCAACCAAACAATGTAGATGGGGAGATAACAGATATTTAAGTCGCAGCTGGAGAAGCTGGTTGTGGGGGGCACAGGCAGTGTATGTGGATCAGAAGCAGAAAGGAGCCAGACCAAAGCTAAACAGCCTGGTCTGTCCCCGTCCACCCCGTCCACCCCCCCCCCCGCTCCAGGACTGGCCGGCGACACCGGGGCCCAAGGACGAGGGAAGGAGCCCGGGCCGTGAGGTGTGGGATGTGGGGAACAGAGACAGACACACAAGGCCAAGAACAAACTATTTTCAAGAACTCTGGTTGGTCCCCGTTCTTTAAGCACTTGTCCCCAAGCGAGAGACCCGAGCTCCAGGTTTCCAAGCAAGGATTTTGGAGCTGAGAAACCAGGACAGGCTGCAAAGAACATTCACCACCCCCAAATCTAAGCCCGGGGCAGGCTAGGGGGAAGCGGGGCGGGGGAGGCTAGGCTTTGTGGGTGAGAGAGCGGGCCGGGCCGGAGCCCCGATGGGAAGAGTCTCTGCAGCAGAGCAAACGCCACCTAACTCCGGGCTGCGGGGCCTGGAGCTCCCCGGACCGGGCCGCCC